AAAAATCAAATATTGAAAAAGTTATTCTCCATTTTAACTGTAACATAAACATTGGTTTTTTTTCCTTAAACACCTTTATTGAGCTGTAATTGAAGTATCATACAGCATACTCATTGTGTGTGATTTTGAGAAAGAAAATTGCCATGTCATGATGAATTCAAAATTAGCCAGATGAAGTAATAAAATTAACCTAAATTAAATAGTCATAGGACAATTACATCTCCGTTAAATCTTTCCTTTTATGTGAAATAATAGTGTACCATGTTCATTGGCTATTCACAGTGGTCTATCCTGAGTCCTTACTTGTTCTGAGTACTGTACTGTACCTGTTCTTTATTCCACGTGGTAGCTCACTGAGATGTTCTTATTATCCCACTTGGTAGGTCCGGAAGGGAAGTAGAGTGAGTGTCTGGTTTGCCCCAGGTCCCATGACAAGTGGCTGCCTAGGCCAGTACCGGGCTGGTCATTTGAAGTCAGAGCCTCAGATTCCCAGATAGCGTGCAGTGCTGCGAAGAGAATGAGCATCAGGGTCTTCATAGCTCTCCTGAGATCTCTCCGCCTCACTTTAGATGCCCTCACACATGGCGCCCAAGTCTGCCCTCTGATTATGAGGGCCAGGCTGGAAGTTGGAAGAGAACTAAGAGTTTAATTACTACCCTGCCTCTGCCCTGGGCAAGTTAGCGAACACTCTTGTCAGCAAAGCAGGTGGCAGTGCCTTGGATGCCACGGGAGACCCGAGTGCCTGGATTCTGTAATTTTACTTTCTTACCGATGACTTATGTCACGAAGGTTTAAGTTACTAATGAATATTGGGATTCTCCTCACTAACATGGAGAAATGACTGACTTAGATTTACATTTTTCTTATAGAACATGCTGTAACAGTTGTCTAATGGTGCTGATATGTGAGACAGATCTCATTTTCTGTAAATTCCAACACTGCAGTTAGATGGACATGCATCCTAGAGACTTCCTTTGTGTCACCTCAGTGGAAGGCAGAAGAGGGAAGTTCTTGGTTATTGGTACGAATGTTTGTTTTGTGCTCCTGACCTTTCCTTTGTGCTAACTTCCCTCTTTCTCCTTTGTCTTAGATGCTGTCATTTTTTCAGGGAATGTTTACTTTTTATCATCAGGGCCATGAACTTGCCAAAGACTTCAATCACTACAAAATGGAACTACAAATCAACATTCAGAATGTAAGCTAATGGAAGCTTTCTGGTATTGAAGATGTTTGAAATAAGTCCTTTTCATATGCTTGCTGTACGGAAAACCTTAAGATCAGACTGAGGGGTTGGTGATGGGAAAGTGGGGTTCTGATGCCACCGAGTGGTCAGATCTTGGTGTAACAACTGGTCTTTTGCTAAATAAAGGCTCAAGAAATTCTGCCCCCTGGCGGCACTTCCTGTGCAGTTCTAGGGAAAACTGGTCAGCGCTAAGCCAGGTTTCCCTGAAGGTGCCAGCAAAGCATGCCAGTTCAGGATAGGGCTTTATAATGACTTAAATTTCTTCTCATGATTGTTACTCCCGGATAGATGTAGGGCACAAGTGGCATTTATCTCCTACATTTTAGGCACATTCACTGATGTGTTAGTGCTTTTGATCTTCGTGGTTTTCTTTTGGAAAATGCAGGTTTTCTGTGAGGGGTTTTGCTAAAGAGATTTAGAGAAGTTTGTTAAGCATTTTGCTGTATGTGATTTTGCTTAGGTGGGGAAAGTTTTTCCCCCTGAACACCTCAGTTGATCTTGGAAGTGTCCTGGTGAAAGCTGCCTGGCCTTGTTGACATAAATGGAGGCCTAGCCAGGGGTCCAGGGAGAGCCCTGTGACAGCACACACCAGAAGGCACACGGAGAGGAGGAGGGACATCTTGGTGGTGGCGGGTGCCTACTCTCGCATTCATTGTGCAGTTAGAAATTGTACGTGAATGCCTTTTGTGCACATTTTGGTTCCAGTTTTATTTATTTTTTGCTCTAGTTCTTTGAACATAACAATGTAGATGACAAAGTCCCTTGTGTAATTCATGTGTCGATTTGTTTGTAGATCATGTGGATATTTAGCTGGGGTCATGTTAATAGAGTCTTTGAATAGATTTTCCTTTTCTTGTGACTATGGTCCCAAGATCAGCAGAAAGAATTAAAAAATGTATAGTTTGATTATAACACAACCCAGTTTTTAAAGAGAAATGGGCAAATGACAGTTTTCTGTATCTTTCTATATTTTCTGAAACTTAAAGATGGTCTTCTGTGAATCTCCCTAAATGCTCACCTTCATCAAATAGTCTTTGCTTGGTTTTATTCTAATACAAGCTGTCCTTTCTGTCCTGCTGGCCGTTACTGTTGAGAGCACTTGACCTTGGGTGTTGTCTTTGATTTTGTTCCCCACCCCCTCTCTTCTGGTGGTGTTGGGGATGGAACCCGGGGCTGGGTAGCTGAAGTCCTGCTTTGTTTCCCGGGCTGGTCTTGAAGTACAGCGTAGCTGGCACCACAGGTGTGTGGCATTGTTCTTTTTTTTTTCAGTTCTGCTTTTAGCTAATTCGTTTTCCATCAGAAGTCCCAGCACCTTGGAAACACCTGCCCCCCACCCGTACCATCTGTCTTACCTCAGTGGTGCTGTCATTTACTTACTTCTCGGCCATTCATCTCATTTCCTGATGTCAGCTTTTAGTTTAATAAATGGAAAGAGCTGGCTGTATAAAACTATTGCCAGAAGAAAATGCTAGTTATGTGACTTTTATGCTGTATATGACATATACCAATTTTAGAGTTAACCATCTCTGTCTTAATAGAGTAAGTAATTTAGATTAACTTTGGGGGATTCTATTATAGTAAAAAAGTAACAAATAACAAAACCATTTTAAAATCAGAGAAACAGTAAGCTACTTAGAAGTGAAAACAACCCCATCTCATTTTACTTTTTCTGTTACAAAAATGGTTACACTTTTTTTGAGGGACACAGTCTTCACCCATTTTCTGTAATCTAGGGTAATAAAAGAAAAGCAAGAAAGTAGCAGGATGGCTTTCAGAAAATAGATTTTTCAGAAGAATGGAAATTGCATCAAAATTAAAGGATATTTTTAAAAAAGCAACTTGAAACTCTTGTGATCTGTCCTCAGAATGTAGGGTAAGGAAAACCAGAATAGAACTCTTCCTGGAAGGAAACACCATGAGAAATTTTAGTATTCATAAGGAATCTCTCAAAGAAACTAAGAATGGCTAAGAAATACTTAAGAATATGTGCAAATATTTTCCCTTAGTTAGGAGATACTGACTTTCTTCAGTGACTTAATAAAAAGTTTGTTATCATATGGTGGTCATTCCCCGTGGTATTTGGACCATGCCCATTTTGGCTTCATGAAAGTTCTATGATATAGATTTTCCCCTTTTTCCTATTTTGACAGGTGATATCGAGGAGACATACAGAGGGAACATCCTTTCTTTTTAAGATGTTTATGGTACATGTCTACAGCACATAATGGTTATATGCCTTGTGGGGAATTGGGACAGGTATATAACACCTCTAGTTCTTTTTTCTCATATAAGCAAGTACATGATATTCAAGCTTGTCTGTCTGATTTATTTCACTTAACATTATGGTCTCAAGGTGCATCCGTCTTCCTACAAATGGCTCAGATTTATCCTTCTTTACGGCAGTGGTACTACTCCATTGTGTGTAATACCACATTTTCTTTATCCATTCATCTGTTGATGGGCATATAGGCCACTCCCAAGATTCAGCTGTCAGGAGCTGTGCTGTTGTAAACATGAGTATGCATATAGCACTGTGGTATGATGTCTTTAACTCTTTTGGGAAGATACCTAGAAAAGGAAT